AGGCGACAACTTAAAAAGAGTCGCAATGAAAGTTTATCATTCACTTTTGAACTTGTGATCAAGCTTGTTGCTTTAACTTAGAGACTTGAGAGGGATAATTTAGGCATGTGATGGAACTAAAGTAGCCAAATATATTGGTGCTAAGGTTATAATTCACTAATAGTCACATTGATGCAAAATAACACAATTGTAAGGAGACACCAAAATCTCTATATTTTGAATGTGGGAGCTCATGTTGACATCAATGCCAACCGATTATGAACCGATTATTAATGCAAAATAATACAATTGTGAGGAGATAACCAAATTTTCTATATTTTGAATTATCAATTGAAGTAGTTTCAATCTGACAAAGACCAAAATATACTATGATACACACCAATATCAATTGTCATTTTATCACTTTGAGCAGCAAATTTAATGTGGAAGCTTGCCAACATATATGTTTCCGAAGAACAAATTGCCTCTAGTTACCATGAATGTCACTCATGCCTCTTAATGATTTTTGTATGTTAAGCTAGTGAATATAATTAAGGATAAATAATACTTTCATGGACTACTTTCATTATACTACATATTTTGGATCTAAAAAGATATGATATTTTTTTATAAAATTATGATTAGAACACACAAAATCATCGATATATTTATGAACTTATTTAGGAATTTATAGGACAGAATTTAAAAAGAGTGTAATCTTATAGAAGGAAAGTCAAGTGGAGAACATAAAAGAAATAAAGGACTAGGTTGCTTAATACAAGTTATCCCATTAGTAGAAACTATACCATTAGTAGAAAATGCTTCCTAGTGTAGTAACTTACAAAAGGAAAGCTTCAATTATGACTCATGAGAAGTACTAGTACAAGTTTTTAATCGTTTGATATTTTGTTCGTTACAATTTTTCTCTATAATCTCAGTTCAAAAATAGCCGTTAAAAATTTACTGTTTAAAAGTTTGAGTTTCAGAAGCAATGGTTCTGTTTTAAAAATTCAGCTTCGAAAGTATTATCTATAGATAAATGTTTGAAATAACTCGATGCTCATGTTATATGGAATTCATATATGTTTAAATTCACAATTTGATGAGGCCTTTCAATATTCGATACATATGCTCTAATACGTCTTCCATCAATACCACCGATATAATCTTATATCAGATAATACTTAATCTAAATTTCATGAAATATTCCATGAACTCTTGTTTTTTTGGAGTATTATCTAATCATTAAGATAGATCATTATAAATCATTTAATCGCTCAATACACTTCATATGATTCTCTGCATTTAATATAATTAGAGCATTGCTAAATCACCACAAAATTAGGAATGATTGTACGCCCTCATGAACTAGAAAATATTACGTTCAGAGTCTGGACGTAACTCTACGTCTCTAATTAAAATTTGACACATGTCTAATATAAAAAAAATATTATTTTATTGTATAAAAAGCAGAGAAGCCTGAAACCCGATCCAACCCGTCATGGCGTACAACATGCTTGTATCGAAGAAAATAACTAGTACAAACATGTTGAGATTTGGGCTGCAAAGTTAGCCTGTAATGCTTAGGTAACATTATGTGTTACCACTTCCACGATAGTCGCCAAGTTGAGATTTTGTGCTCCAGCAATCTTGGTGGTTTGAGCCGGATCAGTACGACGACAAATAGGAGAGCGGAGATGCTTTGAAATAGGCACATTATTTATGGTTGCTCTCTGGACTCCTTTCATAAACAACGTCTCTTCTTCTCGGAATCTTTCTAAACAATTAAAACAACCACCTCTTCTCCGCTCTCCACTCCTAACCCACTCTTCTCCCTCACACACGGCCGTTTTGATATGAATCCCATTTTTTTGGTGGACAACATCTTAACATTACTTAATTATTTACAGAACTAATTATATTTTCATTCCATTCTTTTCATTGTTTATAATAAAGAGCATTTACAGAATATAAGAGTTCTAATCTTGTAACTAATTACATAACTTAACCTAATACAAGAATTAAAGAGTCCTAAATCTTATCACATTTCCAGTCCAAGCCTCATGTGCATGATTTTATAGTCGTAGTAGCACAACAAGTCTTCATCATCTTGTATATGATCATCATCATATGGCTCATCAGCACCATAATCATCATGTGTCATACATACACATTACTCAAATTCATGCATAATTATTCACGCCTCTTTACTCCATATAGAGACCCAATTGCCTATGTTCTCTTTCAATCATATAGGCAAATTACTCAATTTGCCCTCATACAATAGGGAATCTTCACATCTACCCAACTATGTATGGTTCATTTAGCCTTTCTTTTATTTTACATGCAGTTCAGCCATTCAATACATAACATTTCTTATTTCAAATACACATAATTACAAAACTAATGCATATCATTACAAGCAAAAAGAATAGGTCATGATTGAAGCATGCCTTTCAAGATCTACTATTTCTTCCAAAAATGATATTTCTCCATCCATTGTTGCTAGAAGGTCCCCTTCAAGAAGCGGTTCACTGGCTCTTTTAATCACATGCTCATCCCTCCCTATGGAAGCATCGTACGCCGTGTTCAAGTTCAATTGGCTAGCATTCTCTATGTGTCGGGCCACGAAGTTCTCTAAAAGTAAAACACAGTACAATAAAAAGGCAAAGTAAAATCAAAACATGGTTTAACTTAATGTGCATAAAATAAAAGAGATGCTTAATCTACCAGTCAATGTACACTAGCTGAATATTTCTAAAAGAGGTGTCGAGAAGTCTCCTATGGAAGCAGTTCTTTGAACGAATTACCCAATGGTGTATCGGCAATTAGGATAATTACCATGGCAATAGCTTTTGTAGGAGGCTTCTTTGAAACACTCCCCTGAATAGAGGATGAACCTCTCTATCTCCATTTCCCCATCGCCTTATGCCCTCTTTCACCAATCGCTCGCTTATGGTTGGTAAACATGCTCTACAACAACTCCTTATGTAGGATATCAATATTTGGTTGATTAAAGCGTGCTATGATGAACTGAAAAAGTAGAGAACGATTGAATCTAAGAAGCAAAGAGAGGATGCTTGAACACAAATGGGCTCAAAGAACGTTTAACTGGCCTATTTTTAAGAGCCAAAGTCTAGAATTCAAGAGAGTGGTCCAGTCGTAAGCATCACATAATTTGTGTAATTAATCGTTACAATTAGTTCTTTCATTCCTATTCTAGAACACTTCTTAAGTGACGATAAAATTGAGGAACTTGATATATATGATTGAAAGTAGCTACTCAAACCGGTAGGAATCTATGCTCACCAAAAGCACTTCAGCCCGGGACTTCTAAGGAGAATAGTCAGATGAGAATCACAAGGGAGATCAACCCAAGTTAATAATCATTCAAACAATGATTGGTCAAATGCATAGAGTTGACTGCGAATGACCAAATCCGAACAAGTGATCGAGTGCATGTATGGAAAAGATGATCTCAACCATGCTCTAGACCGTTAATATTTGGAAAAAATATCTTAAAAATATTGACTTTAATGTTGAAGTGGTAAAAAAAAATTAAAAATATGTTTTAAAGAGGCCCAGGCATAATAAAACCCTGTATTTACCCTTTTAAAGAAACCAACCGGCATGGATAAAATTAAATGTAAAACGGGACCCCAAAATCTCTTGGATCTCAACCGGCTGTATTTCTTGGATTTGATTCACATACAGAAATTGATCCAATATAAAAATATATTTATACAAAATGAAATACAATCTTTTGGATCCAAACTCTCTTGATCTTTTTATTTATTTCTCTTTCCTCACACTGTATTTCTTGGGTTGGATTCACAGACAGAAATGAATCCAATATAAAAATATATTTATACAAAATGAAATATTAGGTCATTACATTATTCATTTAAGTTCTATTATTAAGAATCATATAAAATCAAAAATTTTTAAATTCCCAAAATTTCTTTCAAATATGCAATATAATTTTAATTAAATTGATATTTATTGATATTTATTATATTTATTTTGAATAAATTAAAATTTTTAATTACATTATTCATTTAATTTCTATTATTAAGAATCATATAAAATCAAAATTTTTTTAAATTCCCAAAATTTATTTCAAATATGCAATATAATTTTAATTAAATTATATTTATTATATTTATTTTGAATAAATTAAAATTTAATATTCATCCAATCTAAAGTTTACTTGAAGATCAAAATAATTTTGTGCATCTAGACGATCCATTAACGATCCAACATCCCGTCCACATTATCTGCACACCCTACATCGTACAATCGCGATGTCTCCACGTAACCAGACCTCGTTGTCTCGGGTTTCTCTCGCCTTCACTGACGGTGACCCGACGCCACTCACTCCGCCTATTTAAGGCTTTCCCTCTCCATTTCCGATCGCCGGAAAAGAAGAAGAAAACGAAGAATAGGGAAGCAAAAGGCTCAACAGCATGGCGTCAGAGAGGAGTCGGATTCTAATCATCGGTGGGACGGGCTACATAGGGAAGTTCATTGTGAAGGCCAGCGCTCTCGCCGGTCACCCAACCTTCGCCCTCGTCAGGGAGAGCACCGCCGCCGATCCAGCTCAAGCTACGATCCTAGACGAATTTAAGGCCTCCGGTGTTACTTTCGTTTATGTATGAGTTTGATTTCGATTAACCTCCGAGAAACCCTAGCTGTTTCAATTCATTAATGTTTCTTGTTTGTGTTTTTGCAGGGGGATTTGTACGATCACGCTAGCTTGGTGAAGGCGATAAAGGGGGTGGATGTGGTGATTTCAACTGTCGGACGAGGCCAACTTGCTGACCAGGCTAAGATTATTTCGGCCATTAAGGAGGCAGGAAACATCAAGGTTGGCGAACTCTTAACCTTGTATGGTTTTGTTTTTTTTTAATGTTTTTTGATGTTTTGTTTTGCGCATTTAATCAGTGATTTACAGACCTTAAGCAACAAAAATAGTTTGTCCTACTCGTATCAGTGAGTGATCTTACAAGTGAGCTAACTATGGCCGTGACTTCTTAATTTGACTTGATAGTTTGTTTGGCTGTATGGTATAGTTTTAAAGGAAAATCATATAATGTTCCATCTAGCTACTAGATGGTGCTAAATCTGTTTAACAACCTTAGCATTATCAATGGTAAATTGTTTACTACAATCAGTAGGTTACAAACATTTCAGTGGAACTTGGCTTTTAAGCTAATTGTGTTTCATGCAGAGATTCCTTCCTTCTGAGTTTGGCAATGATGTTGATCGAAGCAACTATGTGGATCCTGCTAAATCCACATTCAAGATAAAATCCCAGATTCGTCGAGCAATTGAGGCAGAGAAAATCCCTTATACATATGTCTCATCCAACTTTTTTGCCGGCTGTTTCCTTCCTTCTTTGGCGCAGGCGACCACTACAAGCCTCCCAACTGACAAGGTCTTTATCCTTGGCGATGGCAATGCCAAAGGTGATTTTTTTTAGTCTACGCTTGGGCTTTATTTGATTTCTGGTGAGGTGAGACCAAGTAATTGAAATCATACTAGCATATTATAACAAATTGCATTTAAAATGTTCCAGCAATCTTCAATTACGAGGAAGATATTGGCACATTCACCATCCAAGCTGTGGATGACCCGAGAACCCTCAACAAGGTTTTGTATTTGAGACCTTCCCACAACATCTACTCACACAACGAGCTTGTCTCTCTTTGGGAGAAGAAGACCGGCAAGACTTTTGAGAGGGTTTATATTTCAGAAGAGGAAATTCTCAAACAAATTCAAGGCATTGAATGATTAAATTCTTTTCACTAACTAACTTGTTTCTTTCTCTATCTTTGAAACAAAATTATGATTCTATGTTCTATATCGATTGCAGAAGCGCCGGTACCGCTGAATATTATTCTGTCGATCCATCACGCGACTTTTGTGAAAGGAGACCATACAAATTTTGAGATAGATCAGTCATCAGGAGTAGAGGCCTCACAGCTTTACCCGGATGTTAAGTATACCACTGTGGATGAGTACCTCAACAGGTTCCTGTGATAGAAGTTAATAGTATGGGTGAGGGCATGAACTGGCTTATTTTCTTGCTGCTAATAAGTTGCTCTTGTGTCTACCTTATCGAAATAGTCTTATGGTTTTGTTGTTTTTTCGAGTCAGACCGTGCAGGCTCGTGTATTGTACATTAAGTTTGATGTTCGATGTTGGTCGAGCCAGGTCTTTGTGTGTTTTTGTGCTTTGGTTTGGTGGTTGGGTTCCTTTTATTGCAGAAAGATTATGATATTCATGTTTAGCTGCTTAATAACTAATGTCAAATTTGCTTCTGATGTTTCAAAAAATAGTAGCAAATGGGTATTGTGCTTTGGTTTGGTGGTTGGGTTGCTTTTATTGCAGAAAGATTATGATATTCATGCTTAGCTGCTTAATAAATAATATCGAATGTGCTTCTGATGTTTCAAAAAATAGTAGCAAATGGGTAAGGGATTGTTTTGGATGGATGCGTTGTTGCCATTGTAACTAGATTGGAGTTCAATCTGACCTTTTGTTTTGTTTTGGTTGATACAACTTGATCTTGCAAACAAGATGATCTTTCATGTTTTTTAACAAATTTAATCATGGATTTGAAGAAGCAAAATTGTCTAAATGGTACATTTCTATGTGAAGGACTTGAAGCTAGTTTGTCATAACATGAAGATGATCTCTCATGATCACACAGTTCTCCTTCATACAAGGCTTTAATGTCTCTACAAACTTGATTATTGGAAGCTAGCTAGATTTTTAGAGGAAAAAAAACTCTTCGTCAGTGATATAAGTTACAATTTTCTCTTAAATAGTGTTGCATGCCAAAGACAGTTTGATAATTTAATATCTTAACATTATATGAAGAATCAAACATGCATATAATTTGAATGTAATTGTAAGAGGAGATACTATGAATATTTAAGTGGAAAAATACTGAAAAGGAAGAAAAAATCATGAAACATAGCCTAATCAAAGTAATCTAATATGTAATTGTAATTATATAGGTGTTTTCTTCTTCTGAATTATAGAAAATCGAATTATAAAATTGATAATCACATATGTACAATAATAATTTAGCTATAATAATCATAATTTTGTTACAATAAATACAGTTGATGATAGAGGTTGTAGGCTGTGGTTGCGATAGCAGTAGTTGATCATAGAGGCAGTTGGCCACAAAAATTATAAATGGAAGCTATAATAGCATCAGTCGGCCATAGAGGTCGTGGTCGATGACTGTAATAAGGTAATTTGCAACAAAGAACATAGTTGGAAAATTGTAGTAAAGCCAGTTGTCTTTTTAAAACGTAGAGAATATTTCAAGGGTCTGGAGAATGTCATCGTAATCTGAGTACAGCAATTGTAAGCATTCATCGTTGGGTATTTATCGTTAAATCTTCAATACGACATAATTTGTTTAAAACATATTCGAGATGCATTTTTACGTCACATTTATGATATTGTTATATCATACTCGAGATACGAGTTAAATCGTATTCGTGATACATCTTTAGGTAAAAGATTTCACCGACGGTGACTAGCAGAGGCGATCAGTGGTGGTCGTTGGCGGCCGAACAATGGTCAACGTTGGTCAGCGATCGAAGATGCCCGGAGTTATCATCGGGACTTCATTACTTCATTATTTGTTACACTGCATTTGGGAAAGGTTGTTACATTGAGTTTAGGATACATCGTTACACCGTATCTATGATACATCATTACACGACATTTGAGATGCGTTGTTAGCTAGTAGAGTTTGTCGACAATGGTAAGTAGGGGCTTTTGACGGTGGTCGAGGGCGACCAATAGACGGTGGTTGATAGGATTTGACTGCTATGGAGGTCGGAAGTTATTATCAAAATTTTAATTTTACTTTATTCATTACATAACATGACGGTGGTCGAGGGCGACCAATAGACAGTGGTTGATAGGATTTGGCTGCTATGGAGGTCGGAAGTTATTTTCAAAATTTTAATTTTACTTTATTCATTACATAACATTTAGGATAAGACATTACAATGTATTTGGGACATGTTACGCCGTATTCAGGATACATCATTATATAATATTTGAGATACATCATTAGCTCGCTTAGTTTACTAATGCCAGCGAGTAGGGGCGGACGACGGTGGTCGGCAACTACAGAGGTCGAAATTTATTGTCGTAATTTTAACACGATGTTATTCGTTACACTATATTTGGGATACGTCGTTACACCGTATTTGAGATAAGTCATAATGTTGTATTCAAGATATGTCATTACATTATATTCAAGATATGTCATTAGATAGCAAAGTTCGTCAATACAGGGAGCAGTGTGGCCGATGGTGGTTGATTGCTGCTAGTGGGCTATGATCGACAGTTGTTGGCGACTGCAGAGGCTAATAATTATCTTCGGGACATTAATACATTGTTATCTGTTACACCGCATTTTGGATACATCATTACTTCATATTCATGATATGTTGTTGCACCATATTAGGGATACATCGTTATACCACATTCAAGATACGTCGTTAGCTAACAATGTTCATCAACGGCGGTAAGCAGGGGCGGTCAATGGTGGTCGATGACAGTCGGTGAGCAATGGTCAACAACTACGAAGGCCAAAAGTTATCATTGAGACTTGAATATGGTGTTATTCGTTACACTGCATTTGGGATATATTGTTACACCAAATTCAAGATAAATCGTTACATTGTATTCAAGATACGTCGTTACACTGCATTTGAGATGTGTCATTAGCTAGTAGAGTTTGTCGACAACGCCAAGCATGGGTGATCAACTGCGGTCGACGACGACCTACAGGAGGTGGTCGACGACAGCTGACGGACGATGATTGATGACAAATAATAAGTAGTGGTTGATGGTTGTCACGTTAGGTTTTCAGTCTAAAACAATGCTGAAATTCAACTCCTCTTTTCTCAAGTGAAGAGAAGTGTATATTTATAGCCAATGGGGGGATAATGTTGGTCCATTGGAAAATAGCTCTTATAACCACGTGACGAACGATCCATATTAATCCCTTTGATCATAGAGTTTTTTTAATGATTTAAGGATCCAATCATCTCAGAATTTAGCAAGTAGCAAAATTAGGCTCGTTGGATTTCTCTCGTAGATGCGCTCAATTTAAATATAAATATGTCAGATTTAGTGCTCCGTTGATGATCCAATTAACGATATAAATCCTCTAAATGTGCTTTAATAGCTTGATTTGGACATGATCAAATTCAAATCAAACCAGTTTTGATGTCATCAAATTCTTCTTGTTAAAATCGTCAGTTTGACTATAAACTTATCGAAAATAGAATATTGGATGATCTTGAATTTGGATTCAGAACATTTATTATATATATATAAAAAAGTATATATTGAGATTCAAGTTGGATGATAACTTTTAAAATGAGTTAGGGCCTCCTCATCCACACACACCCAATCTTCCTCAGTGGTTATTTTGAATAACTGAGGAAGAGCAAGAACTTTCCCTAGACGGGTGGCTTTTATGTACTTTAAGCATGAGCTCCACCTCCTCATATGATGCCTTCACTTTCTCCTTTCCTACATGAGAACAAACCATCCTCGTCCCACTCAGATATCATTTCTCCAAAGAGGGGAAGCAGAATTTTCATCTTCCAGTTCTTCACCTTACTCTCCAAGCCCTGGAGATGGACCCTAGCCCTGGAGAATTGGACAATGCATTCTCCCTTTCATTCTTATCTGCTACTTTTTGGACCCTAGCCCTGGAGAATTGGATAATGCATTCTCCCTTTCATTCTTATCTGCTACTTTTACTTTGAATGGAGTCAAAAACAGGTAAAAGATTTTATTTAAATCATAAATTAAAGTTTCATTCAAGACAATTCAGTTCTCACAAGTACAAATATAAAAAAAAAATGAATCAAGGTTGTAGGGGTCCAAAATAATCTTGATAGAGAGACAACTCGGCCGAAATGAGCCTCTCCAATAGGAACTCCCCTCTAGCCTTGACCTGGCTTTGGTTGCGAGAGTTGGTCTAATTTTGAATCACTAAGTTGAATCGGCCAAAATTCTCTATGGAACAATCATGCTGTAAGGTTCATGAAGAGTACACATGTTTATCCTAATGTGCACAAAGTAATAGAGATTCTACCGATCGATTTAGACTTGCTAAATATTTCTAAATGAGTTGATGTTGTTTCTCATTTACCCACATCTTCATGTCTAGATGAGTTGGTGTTGTTTCTCACTTACCCATAGCTTCATGGCCGAGTGTATCCACAAGCGTCGGAAGTCGCCTATGAAAGTAGTTCTTTGGACGGATTACCCATTAGGGTACCAATGCAAAGGATAATCTCCCAACCAATAGCTTTAATAGGAGTCTTACTTCAAATTTCTCCCTCAAATATAAGACGAACCTCCTTGTCTCCATTTCATCACCAACTTAAAATTCATATATTCATACAAGTTTCCCAACTAACTTCATGTGCCTAAGACTTTTATCCTGCTCATAGGTGGATCGAATCCGTGACTCTAAGGGTCTTATAAATTTTGTTAATAGGCGTCATATATATATATATATATATATATATATATCTCTCGAGTTTGAGAGATATTTATATATATATATTATTAAGAATAATATAAAATCAATATAAATTTCTTTTGAGCGCATCCATTGCCGATCAACTAACTCATCTGTGATTACAAGTTGAAAAAACCGCCTTCACCGACAGCGACCCGACGCCGCTCACTCCGTCTATTTAATGCCGTTGCAGCTCGCCGGAGAAGTAGAAGAAGAAGGAAAGATTTAATGCCACTCGACAAAACCACGTTGTTTCTGCTTTCTTTCGCATTCACCGATGGTACTCACTCCGCCTATTTAAGGCTTTCCCTCTCCATTTCCGATCGCCGGAGAAAAAGAAGGAGAAAACGAATAATAGAGAAGAAAAAGGCTCAACAGCATGGAGGCAGAGAACAGTCGGATTCTAGTCATCGGTGGGATGGGCTACAGTGGGAAGTTCATTGTGAAGACGAGCGCTCTCGCCTGTCACCCCACCTTCGCCCTCGTCAGGGAGAGCACCGCCGCCGACCCCGCTAAAGCTACGATCCGACGAATTTAAGGCCTCTGGCGTTACTATCGTCCATGTATGAGTTTGATTACGATATTAACCTCTGAGAAACCCTAGCTGTTTCGATTTATTAATGTTTCTTTGTTTGTGCTTTTGCAGGGGGATTTGTACGATCACGCTAGCTTGGTGAAGGCGATTAAGGAGGTGGATGGCGATTTCAACTCTTGGGCAAGGCTGGCAAGCTGAGCAGACCAAGATTATTAGGGCTATCAAGGAGG